GGTGTATTTCCCGACGTTGAAAAAAAGGTAGTGGAACTGCTAGATTTAGATCAAATACACAAATAAACCTGGAGTTACACGTAGGCTATTGTTAGTAATAAAATTTGCCAGAAGGTGGCACTACCTGTATTTAGTAAGTGCGATGTGCATCTAGAGACCAGTAGTGGCTAGTCTGAGATAAAATCAAAGCTACGATTCATTTCAATCGGCCGACATATTCAAAAATATAACTAAATCTCTGTGTTCCAGAGGTTTTTATATAAATCAAAGCTTCAATAGAGTCACTACACAGGCGAAGACACCGCGATACGTAGCCAACATCTATATTCTATATAAATAGAAATGAATTTTAAAACATGAAATGTTTATTGTTTATGCATTTCTAAACCATTGATCCAATTGTGATGAAACTGTGGTGGGCTATTCTGGCGTTTCTGGCGCAAAAATTTTTTCTTTGGACGTTTGTTTTTTCCGTTTCTAAGCCATTGAAGTATTGGGACGCACCTGAGCGGAGAGAGGGTAAGCTATAGTAAATTAAAAAAAATATGTGTATCTCGAATTCTGTATGGTTTGGTTGTTATTAATATATTATACAGACTTTAGTACTTATGTACTATTTTCTAAGAAGCTAGCTATAAACTTTATAGCTCAGGCTTAACTGATTTAATGATCTTGTTAGTTAATTTTCTAGTTCCGCTTGTGAATAGTTTGCATAATATTCGCTGTCATCGACTTTGATATTAAAACGATCGGTACTAATCATGTAATACGAAATGTCATAAATGCAAATGTCCATACATATATAGTATATAGTTTTATTTATATGTTTGTTGGTATGTAGCCCTTTTTAACGACCCATTGCTGGGGGTGAGCCTTCAATACGAGGGGGTTAGACCATCATAACCAACCACGCTGGTCTAGTGCGGGTGGGCAATTTGTTTTTGTGTCTCTAAAATATAGCTAACTTTAGTGTAGTTCATCTTTTTCTCATAGTAAATACAACTTGGCGTATCCGCGGGCTATGTACAGTGTTTAATTCAGTCATAAATAACACATTAGTCTACTTTGTTTTGATTAACAATTTGAACTTTATTCGAGAAAGCGGGTGATCTTGTTATCTGTTGGCCTTAATTACTCCTGTATGTTAATTATATGTTATTTTGTGCGAAAACTTTAATTTAAACTATATTTATATTATGGAGGAGGATTCAGTTACCTTTATCTGCTATAAAACCTTATTGTTGTTTAATCCCTCAAGGACCGCGGATACGCCGGCGTTACAGTTAACAACAGATTTCTTAGAAATTTAATCAATTTCTTAGAAATTTACCTGGAGGGGTAAGTCACTATGTTATTAGTTTAGTTTTTATTGCTTTTAAAATGATTTTAAAAGAGCAGAGACTACGTCTCGAGCGGGGTCGAGACGCTATCATAAAATTCATTGGAGATACGTGGTTTATTAAAGTGGTTTGATCTTGGTGGATCATAGATTGGTGGATATTGAATATGAAAGTATAATCGGAGCCTGTGAACCCGCTAGCTCTAAATCATTAGAATTACCGTTTCAAGTTTATAACATTGTGATTTCCCTGATTAAATCGTGTATTGAGCATTGAATACTTTATTATTTGAACTCTAATAATGCCCACAAGATTAGTAACTACTAAAGTTGATGTCGGTAGTATATGGGTAACACGACATATATATTTTTATCTATACTCGTTTGAGGTGCAATATTTGACTGGTGTTTAGTAAATACACAGTATTTCTATATAACATAATAGGTGAAGAACAAGAAAGCTGTGAAGTAAAAGAAAGAAAATTTTGTACTTCTTTTTAATAACATTGTGTGTTCACAAGAATATGAGCTTTAGCATAGTAAAATCTATATAAGGAAGGAATGCAGGAAGGTATTTATTAACTTGTTATATCATATAGCTCGTGGCTATATAATATTTCTTTCACTTCTAAAAGCTGCAGGATCTTATAACGTTTCGAGCAGGATACATAGAAAGCTTGAAACATTTCTGAAATTCTGTACATATCTACAGATACTGTGAATAACTCATCCTTCTCCTGTCCACCATTCCACCACCACACACCATTTATTAAAGAGATGTAAATTGTGTACTGTATAATGCGGCAACAGAGGATATAGAGATAGGTATCCGGTACATTCACTGATCGCACGAAACGCAACAGGTTATGTATGATATTTTAGGAGAATATTTTGTGAGCGTATAAGCTAATCATTCATATTGTTGACTAGAGACTTGCCTAGGGAGGTACGCGCATTTTGTTCACAATTTCATGGGTTTTAATTTTTTAAGTTACTCCTTATAACATCAGCTATTTACCAGTGAAAGTCCCGTCAAAATCTTCCAGCCGTTTCGGAGATTAGCCGAAACAAATAAACAGATATACAAAAATAAAAAAAAATGTTTTTTCTTATAAGTTACCTTATATACTTTCATATGTACATATGTTAAAAGCTGTTATTTTGACATTACAAACAGACACTTCAATTTTATTTATTTTTATAGATGTATAGACTAGCACGGCGCATATTTGCCACGCGTTCTTTATATCTCACGTTCTAAACATCTTAGAACCAGCTGCTCTGAACAAATACTGTATGCAAATAGAAATAGTGAGACAAGTATGCTACTTTATAAGAGAAATTGGTACTTTTTTTTATGATTTCTTACGCCACGGTCCAACGAGGGATGAATCACATACAATTATTACGATAAGCATCATACGTAATTATGAAGGCGGATGCAGGTTTCTATGTCGGCTGTCGCCGACTGTCGACTGTCGACCTCGTTAGACATATACTTATATAGTTTTATAATTAAAAGAAAAGCTTTTAATAAGCGGCGGTAGCCTTTTTGTAATAAATCAATCACTGTATGTAATAACAGAGCCTCTTTTTCTCAATCTACTTAACCTTTTACGACACGTTTGACTCAGTTTGTAGTGACCCTACTTGCTGTGCCAGCGGTGGCGGGTTCGAGTCCCGCTGGAGCATTCATTTGCGTAATGCACGAATGTTTGTACTCTAGTCGTGGGTATTATATTTATAATATGTATGTATTTAAAGTTATATATGTATAGTGTATCAACTATCTGGTATCCATAACACAAGTCTCGTAGCTTACCATGGAACTAGATGGTGCTGTGTATTAATGTCCCAACATATTTATATTTATTTATTTATTTTATTGGATTAATTGGGAAATTTTTATAAGACATATTGATTTCTGTATTTCTTCTTCTTCTTCTTTCTTCTGTATTTATAATATTATAATAATATAATGACACGCTTTCGTTTTCTTTAGTTAAAGCGCTAGTAAGACTTTTTGATAATCTATAGTCTAGCCCATAAATTTTCTCTTTGTAAAAACCACTTCAAACTCACTTCAAAAACTACATTCAATAATATTTTTTCCATTTAAAAAGTATTTATAGAGTCAAGAAAGATTGTAATTTTCACGGGATTTGTTAGTATGAGCAATGCAGGTATTTATTTGGAGCTATTTGATATAAAATCAGCCTTAGATTCCTACAACCGAAACTTATTATTTCGCAGATTCTATATTGGCTTACACCAAAAGAAGTGGGTTTTTTTCATTCATATAAATGTGACCTCATCCAAAATACAATAATATATTCAATGTACAATCATTAAAATCGTTCTAATATTTGAAAAGAACTCGCATGAAATATGCAAATTAAATAAAACTGAGTTGTGAACTAAGTTAATTACATTAGGTACATTTTATTTTAATACATTACTGTAACTTTATCAATTTACTATATATAATTATGTAAGTTTGTTTGTATATGTTGATTACCCCTCCTATGGACTATGCGCGGAGTAACACATATGCTATATATATGCTATATAAAAGTGGTCAAAAGGCGGCGCGACCAGTACCTATATAGTATTAAAATTACCAAAACGAGCGTAAGTTGTTAGTAAAAAAAAACACTTTCTTTTAAGTAGAAGTAGTATTTAAACAATGAAATTATTGTAAACGATGGAACAGCTATTTAAACGTTATCGATAAATATAATCAGAGTTCGTAAAGCAAGTGGAATTCGGAGATAAGAATAAAATATTTGCACTTAATTCGTGATTCACGAAAGATTTTACAGATTAACATTTGGCCATTATTTTCTTAGAAATTCCAACATAGGTACTCTCATCATCACAATATTAAGGTTTTCTTCTAAGCGAGGCGACGAAGAAAGTAATTCAAAATTTCATTTAGGATTTGAAGTTAAGAATTTTCTTAAAAACTTTTCTAGTAAAGTTTCTGACATAATCTACTGTTACAATGATTGTCATTACATTCTATTTGCATTACCATATCGAGAAATGGAAAAAGAAAAATGAATTATCATGATATTGTAGAAATATTCAAACCTTACCTAAATACGCAAAGGAAATATATATAAGTAAATAACATCAGGAATACTGTTTAAGAAAAATACTGTACCAAAAGATTGTAAGAGAAAGTTTAATTAAAAGATCAAGTGTTGGGGAGGGCTCGATCTGCTTACCTGATTTGGCTTTTGCTTGAAGTTAGACGATGGCCCGGTAGCTATAAAATCAGAGAAATAAATATTTCGAGCATGTGTAATTTGGCCAAAAGGTATATCTCTACCAATTATTGTACTTTTTCATTTATATAATTACCTAAGAATATATATTATCCTATTTTTTCAAAAACAGGTTATGGCTTTAAGTTTTAAAGTTTAATCTCGTCCTAAGTTAACATAAGGTATTACAAAAAAGTTCAGAAGAAAGAGAGAGAGAGGTAATTCGTAAACTGGGTTATAAATAAAATGCTCTTTGTTATTGTTTATTTATTAAAAAAAAAATGTTTCAGACTTACGAGGTTAGGACATAAACAGACATATAGACATACAGACAAACAAACGGATATGCATCAAGCATCATTCTGGAATTCGGCAAGGAATATTGGCAGTTATGTTATACGCCCTCGTCTATCTTGAATGTTAGGGCGGAGTCGCCTGTGCGCGTTCCGGGAAAGCAGCCACCGCAGCACCTTGCTGAGTGCGTGCGTGTCGTCACAGAGTATTTTGTAGCAGTGTTTGGGTCGATGTGGGGTGTTGATATCCCTGTAATAATATGATCTTTATAATTTACTGTGCGTTTAAAAAAGGCAGTAGTAGCCCTGTTTTAACATTTTTAACGATTTTTAAATAAGTAATCAGTACATAAGTAGTGGAGAGAAAAGAGAAAACGAAGAATTATGATATTATAAAATAATTAACTCTTAGGGTATGGATTGTTTTCGACATGTACTTCATACCACCCTTGAGAGAGATTCAAGAGATAACATTTCCTACACACGAACAAACATACACCAATTATTGTGTAATTCCTCTTTTTCAAATCAATGAAATAACTAATGTTAGGAAAAAAATAAATACCGGATATAGTTGGCGTCAGAATGCAGTTCACAGAGCAGGCGCCGCTTGCATCTCTCGCTGATAGGTGGCAGGTCCGCTGCGCTATCATCATCTGCCATACGAGACAGTCGGGACGGAAAACTGCAATGGATGAAACAAGTGTTTAGGATCAATATTTGATTTCATGACCGGAATTCGGAACCCAACCCGCACTTGGCCAGCGTGGTGGACTATGGCCTGATCCCCTCGTATTGAATGTGGCAACAGTGAGACGTCAATTAAAGGGCTGAATACTATTATGTACGAGTATTTACATCTATGCGAAAGTTAGTACACTCGTATGTATGTGTATTTTTGGTTACTCCTTTACGCTTAATCGGTTGGATAAAATTTACTATATAAACATTAAACAGGTTATGACTTGGAGTAGTACATATGCTACTGTTAGACACCTAGGGATGTCACTTAGGGATGTAAGTCACTAGTATATTTTAAATATTTGAAAAAAATATTTTAATAAAATAAATAAGTATAAATTGAGACTATATAATAATGTGGATAAATATGTATTTAAAAATTGTATGTAATTTATCAGATAGATATATACCAAAAGTTTCATAAGAGTGTTCATTAATTAATAGAAGGCTTGAGATGAGAACACGTGTTAACATCAGCATTGGCTTGGGATCTAATGAAAGAATCTAGATTTGGCGTAAAGTTTTTACATTCATTTTTAACAATTTAAAATATTCTTTTAGGACGTTATTTTAATTCTTTTGAGTTTGCTAACAATCTTATCCTTTTTTTATACAAAACAAAATGTATAGTAGTCCAGTGAGAACTAATAGGTATACATAAGCGATAGTGATAAATATTTTGATTTAATATTTATTCATAATTTACTATTTGGTCTATGGCCTGATCTCTTCACATTAAAAGGAGGCCCGTGTCTTTAACGTTAAAAAGGGTAGAATACATTTACTATTTCCTTATTACATTTTAACACAAAACACTTTTATATTTTCAACTATCACGATTTAAAGACTAGCCAGAGAGTGTTTTGTCGATAGTATATAAGTAGTTAAATATACTATTAAGCAATATCAGTGGGAGGTGCGTGTCCACTTCTGTCGCTTTCTCCTTAAATACACTCTAGGAATCTATATGCCTGTGCTTTCTGTTAATAACATATTTAAAACATACGTTACTGTCCCTTAATGTTTTGAAACTTTTTTTATAAAACCTTATTGTATAATATTTTCTTGATGACCATTTGATATTTTAAATAAAACTCATTTATTAAATTTAAAACAATAGCTATACTTGAAGGTATTTACGGTGCCTGGTCCCTACTCTTAGGCTTTTTCTGCTAAATTATTGTATAATTATTATGTACAATTAGCGATATGTAACCCTAGGTACGTTTTAAATAGATATAAATAATTATTAGACTTGCGATTAATACTTTTTTAGATTTTCGCGAATGTTTGACATTTTATATTATTTCGCGGATTTATTTTGATTTTTGTTTCCCGACGTTTCGAATGTGAAGCACCGTCGCAATACAACATCTGCTGTCTGCAAACATAGCCAGGACCGCCCAAGCCATTATATTCGCTTCGATAGACCTCAAATTTTTATCCTTTTCGGATATGTCAGTCCCATAGTATCTTAACCTAAAAAAATAAGTTAGAATCCTAGTCTATAATTATAATATTAGCTTGTGCTAAATTATTGTAAAGAGGTTTCTAGTTTCGTGCCCAAATCTTTGCTTTGTAGCAAGTGAACTATAATAGTGTATTCCATTAGCGAACGATGGATAGGTTCTTCTACCTTGTGATAGAAAGACTTAATTATATAGAGCTTACTTCAAATGTCTATCTATAGTAAAGAAAACAACAGATATGTATATAGGTTATTGGGATTCGCAGAGCCGATGGCTAAAACTGATTCTCTACGCTCAAAATTATCTTTGGTTCATTTAGCACATTACCATATTTAGCAGACAGCTGATAGCACATTTTATCTTCATTTTCTTACAAAACTACTCAAAGCGATAATTTCTCAAGAGCAGTAATTATTAAAACAAAAAAGGATAAAGAATGCCGCTGTCCTCAAAGGAGACCGGTCCTATGGTGTGGAAACTTTTTACAGATTATCTCTCTGTCTGAGTACTTAAAATGTTATTGCTAGTTAATATTAAGCTCAATCGGCACTATAAATACATGTATAAAGCGCAACTAAAAAGGTGTAAAGGTTGTGGGTTCGATTTTTCGTTGAGTACTAATTTAAGTAGTGAAAGAGTTCTAGATTCACTAGTTTTAGATACACTAGGTGCGTACCTTTTTTTTTTTTTTTTTTAACGTTGGGAAATGCATTTACGCACGACGTGTGGGACTCACCGGCGTAATACAGCCAGTACTACCCACTAAAACCCAACAAAACCTTCCCCCGTCTTAATGGGGCGTCGCAGGATCGCTTACGCATTCAACTGCGACGCCCCGACGGCAGGTCTGCCAAAGCAGACCACCACAACCATGGGGTTGCTCCAAGGTCCACTCTGCTATCAGAGAAGTACCAGGAGCAACCCGCAAGGTACACCGCCCCCCGAAGAGGGCCACCTCCCACCGCCCACCGAAGTGGGCAACCTCCCTGTGCGTTTCTTAGCTTCGCGCCCGGTTGGATTGCCGGGCACTACTGAGCCCCCCCACCACGACAAGGTGAAACACTAGGTGCGTACCTAAGTAGGTATATTTTAGCAACATTCGTTGGATTGGTCCGTTTGGAGAAGTTGAATTTCTACAATCGACATTGTTGGTTAAAAAAAACTACAAATATCCGATAACGACATTCAGACATTTTCTTTTATAGGACGTAATTTCACCTAAGCCTAATATTATGGGAATTTTTATACTTGACGACTTGATTAATCTATATCTGTGTTTCTGTGCTTTCTATAAATATGCTAATCAGAAGTTACATATATCTAAATCTTCAGAAAAAACATTCTCTAACGCTACAAACAGATCGACAAAAATAACCACTTTATTTGTACTATATAATAATATTAATAACGATTGTTGTTAGCCTTAGCTGATAACAAGAGCTCACTGGTTTTTCGTCTAACGAGTCAGTACAGCGATTCACCAAAAGAATGCACTTAGCGTTCTAACTCGCATTCCACGCAGCATGACTATCGAAAGTATTACGTGAACATTTATTTTGTTTACGTAACATGGTTTTATTGTTTATTTATTTATTTTATTAACAAAAGGAAATACAGTGAAATGATCATACACTTTATTATATATAAAACAAATATAGTACTTAACTTAATAATTACTGTACAAGTCATGTCCGCGTGGAATTGTGGCAAGAATGCTAGCCGCATTCCCCCGTTGAATGGCAATGAAGATCTTTTGGGTGAAAAAGTAGTACAACAGTAGAGACGGTAAGACGAGATGTCTTTTAAGAAGATGGGGCTCTTGGATTATCGCATAAGGTATCTCGGGTATAACAATCTAGGCTTCAAATTAATTACTCAAATTAACTAATATAATAAAAAAGCAGCCATCAGGACTGCCGACAGAAGTGAAAACTTAAAACTATAAACAAGCACTTGTTATTTTTGGATATTGAAATTAATTGTTTAATCTTAAATTAAAATTTGTAAATTAAAACTGTTTACATTTATCTGGTTTTGACATCTATCGGCACTTTGAGTGTTAGCGTTAACACGTCACGTGACCATGTCGATGACGATTTACATGAATTTACTCCCCATCCAAACCCGCTTATAGAAGCTTTCACTTCAAATATTATAAAATCACTGAACAAACAATCGAACAATTTTTTGTCATTATAACACTTTATTCAAAAGAGTAACATATTCGGAATTAACCTTATTATTTTTTACAAGTGCTCAATCGAGCGTCGAATTCATACATGACGAAATTACGAATAGTGCAATTTTATGTATGTATATGTAGATTGTATATGTACATTGTATATGTAGACAGTTGTGCAGTAAACATTTGTGTTGCTTTCACACTTGTGTAATACGCGGATGCGAATCCTTCCGATAGCCGTAACTCGCAATCAACTGGTATGATGTTGGTCATTGCTTTTCAGTTCAAGAGCGATTTCATGTTTTTGTAAATATAACTTTGTTAAAGCTTGCAGGCAGGCAGCCTGCTCATTGTAGATGAAAATTATCCTATTTAAGTACATATGTATATTAGGATGATAGACGCCATATTTAAATTTTTGTGTAAAAACTAACGAATTATCCTCACTCCACTTGGGTCTGTCCCTAGGTGCCCTAAAGCAGCCAATGTGTTATTTCAGGTCGTAGTCTTTCTGTGCACTAAAATTTCATTCGAATACCTCCAGCCGTTTCAGCTTGCAGCAGTAACAAACATACACACACATACAAATTTCGCATTTATAATATTAGTCGGTCTATAGATGAAAAATTCACTAGTAAAAGAAAAGTATACAACTTTTATTTATCTGTAAATCGATATCAAAGCATGATACACAACTTTTTTTATTGTTAAATCGTAATCGCTAACAAATATTTTACGGTTCTACTTAATTGTAATTAATTGGAATGTTACCAAACAGAAAGTAAAACTGTATTCTACGCTCAGTATTCGCATTTTTGCACGATCATAGTACCCGATGGTCATTTGTAGTCGTATGTGACATTTGAAGACTCTACTGAATTTCAATTAAATAAATTCTTCATTAAATGCGAATATATTTGGTATATGGTTTACAAAACTTAATTAAATATGTCTACCTCTTTAGGGTATTAGAAATAATATCTATTATTTTAAGTTCTGTAAAGCATTCAATACGGTATCAAAAATCAAAATAAATCCGCGAAAATATCTAAAAAAGATTGTTTTATTTAGTTAGCAGTTTTTAGTAATTGAAGAGCGTAAAAACTCTTTTTTGACCCTATTATATTTAATAGGCAGTGGTAGCCCAATGATAACGCGCTCGCTTGGGAAACCGAGTCAAGCGAGTTCAAATCCCGGGTCTCACACGTCTGATATTTTCATGTGCGAATCATTTCCAATATGATCCACATATCTTACGGTGAAGGAAAACATCGTGAAGAAACCTGTCTCATGACCTGATGTCTCAGAGAACCTATCAAGTTTTCGAAATACATTTGGAGTCCGTTAGCCCGGACTTGGTCAGTGTGATGATCCCTTTGTAGTAAATGGAGGCCCGTGCCTGGCAGTGGGATATAAAAAAAGGGCTGTATAAAATATTTAAAAGAGAGTGAGACACAAAATTAAGAAAGTTATCTTTCTATAGTTGTTTAGTAATAAAATGTTTGTTACGTAAGCGACACGTCGCGTGCGCACTTACACGTGTATTAGCCAGTAAATTCTCGATCTAAAAACGGAAGTAAAAATTCAATTACGTTCTATAAATATGATTTAACGCGAGCTCTGTGAGGACAGGATGGGATTGTATTTTACATGTATTAATGTGCCTTTTATCATATATTTATATAATGTTATAAATAGTTTGCTCGATAAATCTACTATTTCCTTTAAATTTAAAATACATATGTCTTTTACTAAATTATTTTGCTTTCGCAAATTTCTCAGCAAACGTGTAAAACGTATTATTTTGGATTACAGTATGACAGTATAATTTTGTTTGCTTAATTATTATAATTTTGTCTATTTGAGTAGTTATTAGTCTTTGACTTCATAAGTAGGTAAATTTGCCTTCTTACGTATAATATATACAATATATTCTTACGTTTATAATATCAAAATTATTATAATTAAAAAAATTAGGGTTTTACTGTTTTAACTTTAACATAGAATGGTAATCTGAATCATGCATGTGCTTCGTAAGTGGATTAATCGATGCGGAGATTACAATTGGAGATGTAACGCAGATGTAGTACGAGTATATCACTCACGACATGCAACTTACATAACGTACAGACTAGGAAACTATCTTATCTTTTGTCTAATTCTATAATTTGCACACGCGAAGTACTTTTACTCTCGATTATATTAATAAATAAATATGTTGGGACTTTAACACATAGTACCATCTAGTTCCATGGTAAGCTACGAAGCTTGTGTTATGGATACCAGATAGTTGATACACTACACATATGTAAATACATATTATAAATATAAACACCTATGACTGGGATACAAACATTCGTGCTCATCACACAAATGAATGCCTCCAACGGGTCTCGAACCCGTGACTGCTGGCACATCTACAAAAATCACTACAAACTGAGCGAAAACGGTCGGCAAATGATTTTATGTTATAAATTATATTAGCCTTAATTTTTTGTTACTTTTTTACACTTTTTTATTAGCTATTTGTAAATATCTTACTAACCTTTCTTTTAATAGAAGTTTGGGAGTCGATTATAATATACTTATAAATATCGTGTCGATGTAAAAATTTTATTTATATCTACGAATTAATGATAGAGTTCAAAGGTGATAGTGAAACTCTTTAACGACTACTTGTAAAACTTTTAGTTTAACTTCATTTGATTCGTTTTAAAGAATTTTACACATTATAGTTAATTAAAATAATCATCTATCCATACCATAGATACAAATAATTATACTATATTACTATTACTTCTATAATAACAGTTATCAGCTATCTAATAAAAAAATGCTGTTCGTCAGTTAGCGCATCATTTTAGAACAACTCTGTTTTTGTAAGCGGCCTTTTTCTGTATTGTATAATATCAAAAAAAATTGACATTAGGACAAATCTAGTCCGTTCGGTCAGCTACTTGTAAATAAAGTCATTAAAAGAATTTATTTTACAAAAAAATATTTAATAAAATGTAAAAATTAAATATGATTTATAATATACTATCATACTATCAAAAAGATTTTTTTTATTGTTAAATGGAAGTGTTTACAGACTTAAGAATAATGTTTATTTACTTTGTTATGTCTTGCGGTTGTCTACCGGTCCCTCAGACCGCTAGGTTGGATGGATGAAACATAAGAAGAGGAAAGTTATATATTTCATCACAATACTTATTTTCTATATAAAAAGCTTCAAAGTGGAAATAAAAATCACAATATACAGTCGATCCTGCTTCGTCCATACAAAAACTACACAGATGTGCCTCAAAGTCGCGCACGCTAGCGGGTTACGTAAGCTACAGCGCGCCACGAAAGTTAAATGAATTATTAATTAATTACAGTGACCTAGAATTTGTTAACATAATATCCGATTGAGAGGACATTGAATAATCGAATTAAGTGATCAATGACTGGTCGGCGAACTTTTCGCTCTGACTAACACTTCCACGGCTTTAAATGAATGTTATATTTAGCTAAACAAGTTCTCGTATACTAGCGATCAATTTTCTTTTCAGATAACTCAGTCTATCTCTTATAAGAGGATGAAGAAGATATTATATAGTCTTCACAATATTATCTATTTATCTTTCAAAACATTTGGTATCGAACTTGCAAAGTTAGATCTTCAGCAAAAGTGAATCTTCAAACAAGTGAATTACAGATCAGAAAACTTTGAACGACACATGAAATGAATGATGTACCTTACAACCTTTGCAATATTTTTAAATCCCTTAAATTTAATCCCTTTAAAAATAAATAAATCCTTTTTTAACGATTATTTGCATTGTAATAAAACGATTTTTGACGACACGTTTGGCTCAGTTTGCAGGCTATGCCAGCGGTCGCGGGTTCGAGTCCCGCTGGGGGCATTTATTTGTGTGATGAGCACGAATGTTTGTACTCCAGTCATGGGTGTTTATATTTATAATATGTATGTATTTAAAGTTATATATGTGTCGTGTATCAACTATCTTGTATCCATAACACAGACCTCATAACTTACCATGGAACTAGATGGTGGAACATATTTATTTATATTTATAGATTTCAAAATATCAGCTATAAACAAGAGCAATCTAAGTGGACGCGTGTACGTCAATTTCACAATGCTCCACTTAACCGGGCAAGAAACTTTAGAGGAAAAGACTGCATTCGGTTAGATAATAACGCGAGTCGTTTTCTTCGGAGGTGATCTTTTTTCACAAAAAGGCCGCACTCTCTCTGATTAATTACCGACCAAATTGAATAACACTAGTCTTGATTTCATTTAAAATTGGGTCCAAATTATACGGTTTAGTGAATGCGCTGCTTTTTACCGTACAATTAAAGTGAGTAATTTTATTTGTTGCGTTGTTTTTGTGATGGTAATTTTTTTTATATTTTTATCATTATATTAATATGGTAAAAAAGAGAGTGTGCTGAGACAGTTATTTCTTAACTTTCGGTAGTTGTTATGGACGATCGATGTTCTAGTTGACAGTGAAATAGTTTTTGCTGAAAGTGCTTACTATTGATTGTTGTCGACGTTTTCTAAAGTGATGATGCTAGGTGTCAAGGCTGATATGATGATGCCGACCGGGATGAGCGCGGTGACAAAATTCAGTACACTTTTCCAAGGGTTCACTCTGAAATTGTCAAATATAATTATTAATATACTCGTATAGGCGGTTTTCTAATCTTACAAAATCTCTATTATGAAATGGACTCAGTTTATCTGCGACTATGATAAGAGCTCGAAAACTAAAGAAAAATTCTATTGCGAACATAAATCATTCATGTGTGTGATACTTCATATGGTCTGTAAAAATTCTTACAGAAAGGACCCAAAGGTTATATGCTATCTCCAATCCAATGTCAAATCCGTTGAGGCGCTAAAGTTATAAAAACACAAACACACTTCTAAATTATTGAGCTTATATTTTTATTGCCCTGTTTCATATTTGGAATAATAAAAATGAATAAATGTATATGTGCCTGAGAGGTACTTGCCACTCCAACAGCTACCGTTTAACATGCATTAATTAACTTAGTGATACGAAGTCCTTTGTTTGACTCAAGTGAGTCACGCGTGTGATGATAAATTATCTTATTGAATTAATATATGTATGTAATAGTCTGTAAAGTATTTCTGTTATTGTATTTGGAGAAAAATGGTAGACCAAATAAAAAAGCAAGTCAACCGGGGTAAAGTCTCAGGTCACACACTTTTGAGATTTGCATGTCTCAATTATTTTCTACATGATTAATCCTTGTGTAGCGAAAAACCAAGGAAAAACATCACGAGAAAAATAGGTTTTAGTAAACGTAAAGTAGGTAATGAATTTTTAAAAGATATGTAAGCTCCGCAAGCCATTATGTCGCCAGCGTGAGGAACTATAGCTTGCTTCCCCTCGCACTGAGACGAGGCCCAACAGTGGGACGTTAAAGGAACTAACTAATATGAAGCTGAGTTTTAATATGATATATGCATATGGTAATTTATGTTTGAAAGCGAATGAAGTAGAGCTTTAATCATATCATTAAAAGTCAAAAAAGTAAATTTCGGATTATTTCACGATTTATTTGGATTTTTGGTTCCCGACGTTTCGAATGCTTTATAGCAATCATGGTCGCGGGAGAGACTGAGGTGTTAGACGTCTCAAACACATATGTTCTTTTTTTAAAGTCAGCTAGAAATTAAAGCGTTTATCACCCAACACCCATTGCCCAGTAAATTATACGAAATTAAGAATTAAATGTCTTCACGTAACATTATATATGACTACTGAATACTGAATGCAACAAGTTCAAATTTAGAGCTTACGTAGTATTCAATAAAGGACGTGTTGTATAAATAAATCTGTTATTTTTGTCACTGGACAAATTTCACGAATAACTAAGTATTATACAAAATTATGAAATCTTATTAATATTATAGTGAAAGTTTAGATGGATGTTTGAATGTTTGTTACTCAATCACGTCAGAACAGCTGAACGGATGCACAGGGATAGATTATATAGTCTGAAATAGCACATATACTTTTTTATCCCAGAAAAATGTATGGTTCCTGTGGGATAGATTTCTTTCTGCTTTTCTAGAGGCGAATCCGAACGAAGCGGGGGTGAGCCGCTAGTTGAAACTTGTATATAAAGGCAAACATTCATAAACAAGAAATATAAAAATTAATGAAACTTTTAACCTATTCACTTTTAAGCATTTCTCAATTTGTACAGATGAAAACATCAGTTTCGCAACAACATATTGTATTGTGCAATGTGCATGTATTGAATAAAATACCAATTATTTTAATCTTTAAACTAATCCTAGACAAGCGTACAGACTTTTATAGAAAACTAGCATTGCCCACGGCTTCGCCCGCGTTCTGATGACCAAAAACCAAATTTTTAGGTTTTACATATTAGTATACTCTTACCATGAGTTTTTGTATTTTTTCTCAGAAATGAGATATTTTCCCGCGATAAAAAGTATCCTATATGTTGATCCGGATAAGGCGCTTCTGTCATACGAAATTTCATCAAAATCCCTCCAGTGGTGTTTCCGTGATGCGGTAACAGACAGACAGACAGACAAATATTCTAAAAACTATAGAATCGGCCTCTGTATCGATAATAATGTCTATTTCAATAAGATTTTCCAAAAAATATTTAATGTACAGATTCGGCTTAGTTAGAATTTTATTATATGTATAGATTATTAAAAAGCACTTAAGTTACGACACACGATTCCGCTTGGACAGTGAAAGGACACATTTTGCTCGGCGATCGGAGGCGGCATAATTATTGCCATGTACCTGATGTACACTTTCGAGCTTTCCATACTTGTTGCGAGTAAATAATAAGTAAATGTTGTTTTGAAAACACCAATAAATATTTTTATTAGAAGTTTAGAAGATATGAATGTTTTTTTTAATAGATCGTTTACATCGTTAAACCAACATAAAAATATTAATGAGCTTGGAAATGCACTGAATAAAAAAATTATAACTGTCAATAAATTAATTAATTTGAGCTGTTCAAACACTACTATGTTCGCGTACTTGAAAAGACGTCACATTCCCCTAAATTCCTATGTATTCTATACATTAAGATCTATAAATAAATAAATATGTTGGGAAATGAACCCAAAGAATCATGTAGTTCCATGGTAAGCTACGAAGCTTGTGTTATGGTTATATATATATATATATATATATATATATATATATATATATATATATGATTGGAGTATAACAGTGTTCATGCATATCGCACAGATGAATGCCCCCAGCGCGACTCGAACCTGCAACTGCTGGCACAGCAAGTAGGGTGACTACAAATTGAGCCAAGCGTGTCGTCAAATCTATGTTATCTTATCAAACTTTACATACCATTTCAATGTCAATAACACAATTTTGTTCACATAATATTATAATCTGACTTCTATATGATCGGGTTCCTGTGAAGGAGGGTTCCATGTAATTCTACATTCAAATATTGAGGCGATAAGAGATAGCGAAAAATGGAAATCGTTATACGTTTAATTTGATTTTATTAAGGATACAAATCTACTTCGTAAACATATGTAATAAATAACTAAAAAAAGTGTGTGTACCTTCTTTGTTTGATCGCAACATTCTTTTCATCATTAAATTCTAATCCAAAATTTGCGTCATCTCCGTCTGTACCAGGTTTTTCTTTGAACAAATCTGGCCGCTGGTACAGGCCTCCCGCAGGGATATTCACGGGGGTCTCAACTGTAGGCCGAGCCTCTAGTCCTGTCTCGAAATGCTCCTTACTGGGTATATTGTTCTCGAAATTATATTGAGAATGTATATGGGGCGGGTAGGCATCGAGTGGTTTTTTGTATTGCAATTGGATGAAGTCTTTTGGAAAACTACAATTAAAAAAAAATGGAACTGGACTTTGAAATATACCAGTATGTTAAAATAATGTAGTGCTATTTTTTAAGAAATGCTGCATAAAATGCAGATTTTATGTTATACTTATGCTTATAATATTTATTACTTGTAATTAATCTTAACCTTTATAAATGTTACTATATTATAAATATTATGAGATTTTAGAGAGGGAATAATGGGGTATTATTACCTGGTAAACCCTGATGATGGCTTGTCAAAGGGGAAGAATGACTCCTCCGTTGAATGCGGTGGTATAATGAAAGTACCTTCTTCGTAAAAACTTCCTAGATGTGGGCTCGGCTTAAATTCTTTTCCTTTGGTTTCATTCTTAAAACTACTATTACTATCCTTATATGTTTTATTTTTGTGGTCGTCATTTTCTTTAATCTTCGAAGAGTCATAAGCTGCGTCTATGGTCCAAGTAGTTTTATTAACTTTAAGATTCCTGGGCTCTGATTTGACGTCTTTTTCCCCTAATTCAGATTCAAGGTTATTTTTCATTTCATTACTTTCTTCGCTATTATATTCAGATGAATGCTTAGAAGATTTGATATCGACTTTATTATTAACATTTCTTTCTAAGATTTTATTGTCTTGATCGAGTTTCTGTTCAGAGACAACGTTGTCGTTTTCTTTTACGTGGTAAGTGATATTTTTCACTGGATATAGTTTTGTTATATTATAATTTACCCTCTCTCCTAAGACTTTTGATATTTCACTGCAAGACGCTGCTTTTATCAGAAGGACGATTATGAGTATCTGTAACAATAAGAATTCTACGATAGTTATTATTTCTTTTTTGTAGTATACTTTATCATTCGTTGATAACGTATTGAGCTTTACTATAGTCATCATGATATTTTATTAACAAATAGGCATCTATGAATATCGAATAATTCTTTGATTGGGCGTTTTAAAGAGCGGGAAGTGCAGCGTTTAATTTACAACCATGACTCAGAAATTGTAAGTATAATAGATCGTAGTGTACATATCCCATATAATATCTTCGTGAAAGTGGTGAAAAGGTTATAGGTCAAAGGCTTTGGCCTTAGTTATCGACCCGACGCAGTCGTGCTCTGTGCTTGGGACTAAAACATTGTTCAGATCAATTGGACGCCGCTGTGTGAATTTAATTCAAGAAATGAATTATTTATTTTACTAATATATTAATTAATATTCTTGGATTCTGTCTTCGCTTCGGATAAAATGTATCCTATGTCCGTTCTTATCATACTATCATTTTATGTAAATTTCATCGAAATATGTTCAGATTTTTAGGCAAGTAAATGTAACAAGCAGACTGACGGAGTTACTTTCACATTTATAATATTACCATGGATGATATGTTTACATAAACTACGACTAAGAATGTCGCATTCATAATTTGTAAGTTATTACCGCATCCATTCATGTAATTCAAGCAATTATTATATAACTATGTCAGTTGGCCTCTCCAGCTTAATCATATTTTTTTTAAATTCATAAATAATATTAATGATAAATCTGAGATTAATAACTCGAAATAAAAAATCTAAAGTTTTGTAGTATGCGGTAGGTAACAATAAATTTAAAGTATTATAAAGGTGTTTCTTTTAGCATGTAAAGTACTCAATGAAAGAGAAAACAGATTCGGAGACGCGAAGTATGTAGAGCCGTAATTGAGGCATTCCGTCTTCACACAGATAGAGACAGGTTATCTAATATATGTGTTAAATGATCGGTCTTGAGGCCGCGGTCGTGACTCTACATGACACGTGACGTAGATGGCACAGTATATACGCAAAAGGAGAGCAGATTTTAATTTTAGTTTTTTCGAGTTACTTTTGTTTTTTACAATTTACAATTATTATAACAGGGTGCTTAACCTACATAAAACTAGTATAAGTTTTCTCTAAATTATAATATATTTTTAAGGTTCCGTACCTCAAAAGGAAAAAGGTAACTTTATAAGGGTCACTTCGTTGTCTGTCTGTCAAGATGCTTTTTCTGAGGAACGCGTGGAGGTGACAAGTTGATATTAATATCAAATACTCAAGTCTGCAATCCCTTAGAATTGTGAAAAAATTGAACTTCTAAGTTAACGCAATCAAAAGGTACGGCCGTTTATGCCGCAAATTTTGACACTTGCAAGGGAATCAAAAACTATGGGATAGTCCGCGTTGACCTAGAATTATGTTTGGCGAGAATGCAATGAATGGAAATGACTTATAGCACAAGTATCACATCGCATCACAATTTTTTTTTGTTATTTTAAACTAATTTTAATGTTTCATGCTACGGAGCCCTCGGTCTTCGAGTTTGAGTCGCACTTGTCTGATTTTAATTTTAATTTAAATGGTGCTGTTATAATCTGAGTCGTAATCAGTACATTCCGCACTTTCCCTTGTTCGTCAGACTCCCCATAAGTATCAAATTAATCAATTTTGCAACTTTTCCTACTGCACTGAATAGTATAATTATAATAATTTTACAAGAAATGATATAAAAATAAATACAAGTAATCTTCAGTATTTTTAACGTAGCAACAATATTCAGAATTTTAATGTCTTTGCTTCTTTACGAACGTTTCGCTTAAAATGACAAGGAAACATTTTTAAATACGAAGTTATAAAGCCACCTGTATTCTATTGTGTTAATGCTGGATCAGGTGGTAAGATGGCATTCTAGAGTTGTTCACGAATAGAAATTTAAAAAACTATATAAGAATGATATATTACACTTCTCTGACACAACAATATAATATTTAAAAATTTGTATTCCTAAGCGATTTTAAAAACATAATTTTGTCTAAGCCCGCAGGATTTCAGATGGCAAGGTAAATTGAAATAAAGCAGCAAATATAGTGAATACTAGCAATAAATAATGCCCATGTGGTGGAGGTTGTCTGCGCGAGCGCAGGCTGCGACGCGGTCAGTGACTTACTGATTTGGGTGAAAGTGACGTTATGCAACGCTCGCGCCGGCCGCGGCCTCGCCACTTTTGCTTATCATTTCTACTATTTAGGTCAATAGGAAATAAAATTCAAAGTATTCTCAAAACTAGTTAATATATTTTGGCAAACTGGCGGAAACTATTAAAATATTTGAAGTATTTTTTAATTACTTGAAATCTGATAAGCTTTAATTTAAAGTATTTTAACAGCTCTTTTTTCGGTCATTTAGTAATATTATTTTTAGTTTACAGCGTTATTTTTAGCTCAGATTCAAGAATTTTTTATTGAACCATAATTGCTTCTTAAATATATTTATGATTTGATAAATCTTCATAATTTTTAAAATTTATTACTTCCGGGTTTATAATTTTTATACATTTAATATCGCAATATAATTTATCTGGACATTAAAGGGACCGTTGTAAATTAAGACCCACTTCTATTGATGCAAATGTGTGTTTGAATATCTCGTTTTTATAATTCCATTAAGTTAGTGTGGCGAAATCAATGAAATTTTAGTATAGATAAAATGAGATCTTCTGAACTCTTATTACTGTGAGCTTTGATAAAGAATACATGTCTTTTAGATCATGTATAGAAGTTATACGTTAATAGTTATTTTAAATATGAGAAAATTAATCTTGTATACCCTGAAGGAAAAAAAATTATATATCACTAAGTTCATACATTTCTACAAATATCGATATTTTATATCTTTCACATTCATATCATATTCTATGTTATTCTATTAAAACTTTTCAGACTAACTCGTACGATTTCGCAAATTTTCTTTAATGACATATCTTTGCATTCTAATTAGACTCTTCATCTTATCAGGAAATAGCATCAAATACTCGTATTATACTTTCATTATATTTTATATCAGCAACTTGCGCTCCCTACTAACTTACGCTAGATTCGCCCGAGTTCGTCCTTAATAAAAAACAAAAACAAATCTATCTCACGGGAACCGGGATTTATTTTTATTTTTCTAATACTAAACAAATATGAAGAAAAATACAATATTTTTATTTTATCGTAAACAAAAATACAACGACTTCTTTTCATCAATTTATACATATTACATAAAGCATATTTTTTACATATTTATAAATTATATGGATAGTTAGTGTTACATATATTAAAAATACTTCACCATATGAAAAAGTTCTTTCAATAAGCCTAAAAGAAAGTTGTATTTACAAAACTTTGAACGCTAGCGTGTTTCTATTGTTAGCAAACAATAGCTTCACCTACATTATTTGCATGGAGGCGTTAAAATTAAATAAAACTGTTTAACTATTAAACTTAAACAATGAGAATACAAAAAAGCTTGTTTTAAATTTCTAATGCATATATTTACTTTAAATAGTAAAGATATACTTTCAAATAATAAGTGTCCCATTATATATGCATATGCAATGATACATACATTTGAAATGTATTGCATAATCTATATATACTTGTATATATTCAATTGCCGTTCGTTAGTCTCGCCAAAACTCGAAAAGGGCTGGACCGATTGGAATAATTCTTTTTTTTTGTTCTGTTGAAGGTGTGTCAGGGGTGGTTTAATTATAAAAAATAGGGAAAACTCAAAAAAAAAACAGCTGGAAAATCGAAAAGTTCAGAACCATTTATATTGTACCTATGTATATATAATACATAGTTATCTATACTATCTATAGTATAGTAAGTAGTACTAAGTAATATACTATCTATTCCATATTAACCGTTAAAACGTACCTAGAGATGATCCCGATCGAAGCGAGGGTGAGTCGCTAGTATCATATGTATATGTAAATATTATTATGCGTATAGTGTATGTACATAATTAGCAGACTCGTTGTCAGTATCCATGGGTTCATTAGAATAAATATTTATTTAAAACGTATTCAGGTAGAGTCTACTTTGAACTTAGAATTTATTACGTATGTATTTGTTATATAATATATACTACGCGACTAAATACGTATAAGTAGATGTGGGTGGCAAAATACATTGTTTCATACATTTTTAACGAGTTTCATTAGCCACGAGTGGTTACGGCGGTTGTAGTAATGGTTTACAGGAAAAAAAACTACTCAGAAATCTTCCAATTCACATGAGTCAAACTCGCACTTAGCCAAGTTTTTCAAAACTATTTCATTCGGCACCCTTTACCATATAAATAAGTAAATAAATATATAAATATGTTAGGACATTAACACACAGCACCATCTAGTTCCATGATAAGCTACGAGGCCTGTGTTATGGATACCAGATAGTTGATACACTACACATATATATATATATATATATATATATATATATATATATATATATAACTTTAAATACATACACATTATAAATATAAACACGCATGACTGGAGTAGGTACAAACATTCGTGCGCATCACACAAATGATTGCCCCCAGCGGGACTCGAACTCGCGATGGCTGGCATAGCGAGTAGGGTCTCTACAAACAGAGCCAAACGTGTCGTCGAACGTTGACATATGAACATATCGAAAGATGGCATTAGAGTAGATAGCAAGATAATGACTGTATCTCCGACTGGTTTCACAGCCGCCACGACGCGCCGCGCTTGGCGGACAGCGGACAGGTGGAGAAAGCGAACAGATGCATTTAGCTCGTTCACTCTATTGTTACGCAAGCACTGAGACGGAAGGCCACTATGATATGTGTACATTGTGATATTGTAAATCGTCTGTCGACTTTACCTTTGATTATTTCGTCTCTTAGCCTCTTGTACATGTTTCCATATCAAATTAATAGCGGAATGTGTTTTGAGAGTATTTCATCAAAATTTTCCTATACTAAATAAATAAATTGGGCTTAAATTAATATTTTTTAAGAAATTAGAAAACGAGAAATAAACATAAAGGAATAGAACTCTAATTTCAGAAAAGACAATATATTATA